CTAGAAACGATGATAATCGGAGAGTTCATTAGGCAGAAAAGATGAAGCAACGTTCCTACACTAGAAACGATGATAATCGGAGAGTTCATTAGGCACCGAAATACCTTCATTATGGAGTTTCCCATATTACTTAGATGTTTACGTACTGTTTCATGAGAGACATGCAATTTCAGGGCCATTTAAGGAGTGTGTTGCCTTGGGTTAGACTCAACAAGTGCCTTCAGAGCATCAATATCAATTCCAACATGTCGGCCCCTACCATCACAGTTTTTAAAGCTAAAGTCATTTGAACAAAATTTGCTGAACTATCGTTGACACTTACAAACGTTCAAAACATTTCCATAAACTTTTTTGATATTCTTCGTGGCTACAGAGGCGTTGTTTCCGTTCTTGTATTCAAACAGCATTAAATTGCCAAATGTGTGTCTCATCGTGTGCCATCGCTATAAGGGATTAGAGTATACTAAACTTTACACATTATATAGGCTACACTAACATGACATTTAGGTGGTTTGTTTAACTATTATACACAATGTATGTTTTTAAGGAGTTGGTTAATGAAAATCTTCTAAAATACGACATCAATTTCTTGACGACCTAATACACACAATACTATTGTAAACAATCTGTATTGTCTAATACTCTTGCCAGGTTTAAGACATATACTATGCTTCATATAATTCTATTTTAAACAAACTATACTACACCCCTCAAGTTTCATGCCTGGATTACGAGATCTTAGCTTAATCTTATGGGTTCAGTCATTTTGACCAATTTTGTAACTACTAAGTAACCATGAAAATATACATACATTTAGTTCTCTGAGTTATAGTATCTTCACAAAATTTGGTAAGTTATTAGCAAAAGTTATAATTCTTTGTAAACAGAAAATTAGATTTTTAAATAATAATCATTCAGTATAGTAGTATTTAATAGTAGGGATTGTGATGAAACAAAATGGTGGCTATAAAAATTGCATGTTTAAAACCACCTTTAAAATGTCTGAATATTAACAATAACTATTTCATAGTATTAACTGAGCAAAACTAAAGCTTATTGTACTTATAATCCACCTAAATTGCTCTATATTTGTTTGTGGAGTGAATCAAAATTTCACTATTTCAACAAATTTTCATCTAAGTAAGTAAGTATGCGACTTTTCCAGAAAGGTGCCAGTATATATATATAAATAAAATGGGCAATGCATTACTTCGGGTATATAATTAGATTTTAGGGTAGGTTAGCAGAGGTCCTGATAAGTATTGCTGGAGCACAAAAATATAGCTAATAAACAGGAAACAAACAAGTACAATAAAAAATTTAAAATTTTATAAATACAAGTAGGGATCAATATATACATAACCTAGCTAGCTGTAGTAATATAGAAATTTTTGATGCTACAAAAGTACTGAAACAACAAAGTCAAAATTACAAAAACTGGGTTACTTAAATTTTAAAATGTTTTATCCCTACTTTGGCAAATCACTGTAATTATGTTCGTTTGAGCCAAAGTTGGGATAAAGTTTTAGGTAACTATATTTTTGGACTTTTGACTTTCTTGTTTCAATGCTTTTTTTTGTAGCATTCAAACTTTCTATACTATTATAGCTGGCTAGTTACATAATACTGATCCCTAA